TTGGAGGTAATTCTTTACATAAAAATTCAAGTTTCAGGTTTGAGAACTGAAGCCTGGGGCAGTATCTGAGAGATAACCAATGTAATTCACTCCTTTGACTCCTCCCCTTAATTCTCATCTATTAGTAGTGATATTGAGGGTTAAAGTTCTCAGTATTTTGCCTTGAGCACCTGAAAGAGACACTATATAATTCTAATAAATAAAAGACTGTGTTAATAATATTTAAAAGTCCAGCTCTTTAATAAGCATCAATTCAGACTAATTATTTTAATAAATCAAAAGATGAAAAGCTATGAGGTAATTATGAAGATAACAGTGATACATGTTATAACCACTGACATCAAGGAAACATCACCACTTTCCAAATATAAGCAGATAACGGAAAACCCCAGGAGTGAACTGTGAAGAGGAAACAAACAGTGGATAAAAGAATATAAACTTCTAGTTCCATTTGTCCCACAGAAACAAGATTTCAAAAGTAAGTAGTACTATTTATGAAGATTTAAACTGGACTGAAGCTTAGTAAATTTAATGCCACTTGCTTATGATAAGCCAGCTGGTTAATAATTAAATAAATGAAGATAATATATTCAGGTTGGATTTAAACCACTGCCATAAAAAATCTTAAGCACACTGGTGACATTTTGTTGTGCAATAAAACACAGTCTGCTCTGTGTAATCATGAAATGTTAAAGAAATCAGTGCTATCCTAAAGCTAAAGAACTATGTACTTAGCATCTGAAAGATAATTACTACATTGAGTGGACTATATCCATAGGGTTTTAAGATTTTTTTTTTAACTTCCTACACAATCTTCAATTACAAATCAACTTGAGGGGCCAAACCAAAGCTTCTATGACTGCTTTCCTTACATAAAAGAGAGCCTCTATAGTTATCACTTCTATTGCCCCAGTTTCTATTTGCCCCCAAAATGTTAATCAACTACCCCAATCCAATGGTGTTGCCCCTAATGCATCCTGGGCACTGAACCCAAAAAAGATCTTGCTAGCTGTCCAGTCTGGGCTCAAACTTGCAATCCTCCTGCCATGGCCCCTAGAGTGCTGGGATTACAGGCATGGGCCACCACACCCAGTCAAGATTTGAAGATAAATGGGTCCACAGTAGGTGTGAGCCTCAACCTAGTGACAATGGTTAGCAGTCATTTCCAGGTAATAGTTCCATTGACAGGAGGGTGTGCTAGGATACATAGAAGGGATCAAGTCTTGGATAATGACCAAATACAAGACAGTACTTACCAAAAATAGAATTTATGGAAGGAGAACGGTAAAAGAAAAGAGATATTAACCGCCTTGATGCGACTTATTCAGAAATTTCTCTCTGTGCTGCACACAAGTGGGATCTCAGAGGGAGGAGATAGAAAAGTATTAGATCTTGGAAGAACTGACATCAACAGAGAGGCAATGAAAAAAACTACAAACCAGGAAAGGTAGTACACACTTGTAATCCCATCACCAAGGAAGCCAAGGGGAGACGATCCTGAGTTCAAGGCCAGCTGAGGCTATACAGTGAGACCCTATCTCAAGGAAAAAGAAAAGAAGGCAGGCAGGTAGGCAGGCAGACAGGCGTGGTGGTGCACAACTGTAATTCCAGCAATTGAGCGCTGCCTGAGCAACTGAATGAGACTATCTCAAAAATTTAAAAACAAAGGGGAGAGGGAGCTGGGGATGCAGCTTGGGACAAAGATCCTAGTTTCAAGTCCCTCCCCATCCCCACATACACTCCACAGGTTTCTAAACCCTTTTTCTTGCTCAGAATGGTTCCCTTGTTTGAAAGAGCTTTTTTACCTTTGCCAACTTCTTAGAAAGATCTCACACTGATCAACCTTAAATCTAGGCAAAGCCCACTGTGTCATGCTTCTTTCAGGAAGTTGTTTCTTTCCTTTTGATGTTGTTTTTGTTTTGTTTTGAGACAGGGTCTCACTAGGTAGTTGAGACTGACCTGGAACTCACTATGTAGCCCAGGCCAGTCTAGAACTCACAGCGATCCTCCTGCCTCAGGCTCTCGAGTACCGGGATTATAGGTGTGTGCCACCACACCCAGCTTCTTTCTCTTCTTTTGATATTTAACACAATGCAACACTGTACTTAACACAAAAGTTAACAAGGTCATATATCCTGTAAATTTAATATACCACAAAAAATTCCCAAGAGCATGAAGAATATGACATCTATGACTCTGTGACATCAGCTTGGGCTGCACTTAAACTATGGTTAATTTTTTTCTCTGAAAGATAAGTAATTATTAGATTCTTAAGCAAAGTAAGCTCAGAAGTTTGATTTCTCTAGATGAATCACCAGGACTGGGATTGTTACCCTAAATAACCTGGAAGAAACTAGTTAAATGTGCCAGTCCTCATCATGAAGTGAAATAGTTCCACACAGTAAGCCAAGATATCAAATCTTTATTAAATCAATAAACAAAAGACCTCATGAAAGCAAACTAAAGATAATGGTAGTTTATACATGCCTACGCATCTCTTCTAAAGTCAGAAGCAACAGTGTCAGGCATGGTGGCATAAGCATGCAATCCTAGTACTCCAAAGCAAGAAGACTGAAAATTCAAGGGCACCCTGGGTTACACATAAGGCCTGCCTCAATAAATAAACACTGTTTAATAACATGACACAACTTCTTCTGGATCATTTCTCTAGCAAGTAACTTCAGCCACCATTACTTTGACCAAGCCAGGGCTACAGAGATCACAACACCATACCTTTTGGGTAAAGAAACCGAAGTGATAAACCAGCTGTTTAAATACAACTGTTAATCTCTGTTTAGACCTGCCTATGTTTATAAAACAGCTGAACAGTCCTAATATTACCTTCCTAAACAACAGAACTTTCTACAAGAGGCAAAGTGGACATGAGTGTCATCCCCAATAACTGATTAAGTCTGACTCCAGATTCTGGGGAATGAAATGACAGCCCAAGGTCAAACATCTTTAAGTGAAAGAACTGGAACAAAAACTTCAATTTTCTCAAGTTAGTGTCTCCTTCATAATAACAGGAGAGCATGCATTGGGGTTGGCATCTCAGGGGGTCATCCAAGGAAGGACTGTTTGAGAAGCAACACAATTTTAACTTAGACACTGACAGATCTAGGCACAAATAACCTTAGGAGATCTGACTCCATCTAGTAACGAGGCCTGCCTTGTCTCCCACTTTGTCCTGCACTCCCAGAAGATGCTTTTTGCGGCTATTATTCAGAACCATGGTGGCATTCCAAAGAAGCAGGCATCTCAGCTTTTGTGCCCTTGTGCAGGCAACTTCTTCGGCTTGAAAGGCTCCCCCTCGCCCATTTTTCATTTTAGCCTGCTTCCATCTGACCTAGGTGACTCTGCTCAGACGACACCTCTTTCAGAAGCTGACCTCACAATGTTCCCAAAGCACTCCGGATTGCCTTACACCTCTGCACTGTCCTGAGAAGTCTTCCTGTCTGAATCTTCCCTAGACACAAAAGTAGTAGGAAGCAGGTTAAGGGAAAATGTGGGAATATGACTGATGCATCTTGGCTTCTCCCGGTACATGACACATGGGGTAAGTAGTCAGTTATCGTTTGTGGACTAAATGAATCAACATGACAATTCATGGGGGAAGCCAGACCAGAACTTCAGACAACTCCAGTGAAAACCACACTCAATATATTCATTTTAGCTACCACCTGGCCTTCTTTCCCAGCCCAGCTCCTCCAGAAGTAGCCTCTGAGCTTACACAAGCTTAAGTACATATGTCCCTTGACTTACAACAGGGTTATATCCAGATAAACTTGTCATAAATTGAAAACATTATAAATGGTAAATGCATTTAATACATCTAACCTACCAAACATTGTTAACAGTCTAGTCTATCTTAATGATAAACATTTACATTAGGCTATCATTGCAAAAAAAAAAACAAAACAAATATTTAACACAAAGCTACTGTACAACACCATCATTTTATATATGTGCTGAATATCTCATGTACTACAGGTGGACATTTTGTAGACAAGATGGGATATGAAAACACAAAACACAACATATGAAAAAAAAAGGCCACATAGTACTTTGCACAATCAGTTGTTTCTCCTTACAACTGTGGTTGATAGGGCGCTGAAGTTCATCACATTTGAGAGGAGGATCACAGTGCTAACCAGGAAAAAGAACAAATTCAAAATAACTTCAACTGAGTGCACATCACTTTCACACCACTGTAAAGTAAAAAAAATAAAATAAATAAAATAAAAATTTTTTTTTGGTACCAGAGATCGAACTGGGATCCTTGGGCTTGCGCAAAAAAAAAAAAAAAAAAAAAAAAAAACA